AGCTTGTTTAAGTCCATATATTGACTTCTTAAGTTTACACACCATGTGACCTTTTCCTTCTATGGAAAAACCTTCGGGTTGATCCATATATACTTCCTCATCTAAGTCCCCATTAAGAAAGGCCGTTTTCACATCCATTTGATGTAACTCTAAATCATACTGAGCTACTAAAGCCATAATGATCCTCAAGGAATCTTTCTTAGAAACAGGTGAAAAAGTCTCCTTATAATCAATGCCATCTTTCTGAGTATAACCCTTGGCAACAAGTCTAGCTTTATGTCGTTCGATATTGCCACTCGAGTCGCGTTTGGTCTTAAAGACCCACTTACACCCAACTCGTTTTGAACTTTCTGGCAATTCTACTAGATCCCAAACATTGTTTTTAGCCATAGAGTTTAGCTCTTCTTTCATAGCATCAATCCATTTACGAGACAAGTCACTGTTAATGGCTTGTGAAAACGAAACAGGATCTTCATCAATGCTAGTATCATAATCCAACTCTTGCAAATAAACCACATAGTCATCCGAAATAGCAGATCTTCTCACCCTTATAGGTTTACTTAATGCTATTCCACGTGGTTCATTTATATTAGTTGGTGGCAAGTTAGTCTCTTCTTGGGGTACTACTTCATCCAAATTTTGTCCACCATTATTTTGTGGTTGTGGAACAATATTTGGTACAACTGTGGATATTGGAACATTAATGGGTAATGGAACATCAACCCTTATTTCATTAATTTCCACAGTCTCTTTAGCACTCCCACTAACTTCACCATTTTCAATAAATCCAGCATTGCCTGTTTCAACGATTCTAGAACTATGATTAGGACAGTAAAACATATACCCTTTGGACTTCTCTGGGTAACCAATAAAGTAACCACTCACAGTTCGAGAATCCAATTTCTTTTCATGTGGGTTGTATACTCGTGCTTCTGCTGGACAACCCCAAACATGCAGGTGTCTCAAACTAGGTTTCCTTCCAGTCCATAACTCAGAAGGAGTTTTAGGAACTGCCTTACTAGGAATTCTATTTAGCATATACACGGCAATCTTAAGTGCATACATCCACAAAAATTTGGGTAATGATGTATTACTTATCATACTCCTAACCATATCAATTAATGTTCTATTTCGCCTTTTCGCCCGGCATAGTATACTGTGCACATATGCCATGTCTTTCAAGGAACTTAGCAAATGGACCGAGATTTTGTCCTGATTCATCATACCTTCCATAGTATTCACCACCTCTATCAGACCTTACTATTTTCACCTTTCTGTCTAACTGCCTTTCAACTTCATTAATAAAAACCTCAAGTGCATTTGCAGCTTGAGATTTTTCCTTGAGCAGATAGACATAACCATAACGTGAAAAATCGTCTATAAAGGTAATGAAATACTTTTCTCCATTAAAAGATGGAGCATCAAAAGGTCCACATATATCAGTGTGTATAATTTCAAGAAGCTGACTACTTCTTGTGGCTCATTTCTTGTTATGTTTGGTTTGCTTTCTCTTAATGCAATCCACACACAACCCAAGATCGGTAAAATCTAGATCCAAAAGAATCTCATCTTTCACCAACCTTTGCATTCTTTCTTTGGATACATGACTCAAACGTTTATGCCACAAGAAAGTAGAGTTCTCATTTGCTACACCACGTTTAATTCCAATGTTTTGATGAACACACATTAAAGATGCAGAAAAAATCAACATCAAGTTTCAGTTTATATAAACCATCCATAAGAATTCCAGAACCAATAACGGAATCATGTTTATCAAACAAACTGAAACATCCATGTCCAAACTTAAAGGAAAACCCAAGAACATCAAGTCTAGAAATAGACATTAAGTTTCTAGAAAATGAAGGTACATAGAGAGTTTGTAAAAGATCCAGATGGTGCCCGGAATCTAAAACAATACGATAAGTCCATATTCCTTCAATTGGGGCCTTCATACGGTTTCCCATGAACAAGAAGTTCTCATTTGGGTTTATGCTCTGGATTGTAAGAAATCCCTGCATCATATTAGAAACATGAGTTGTAGCACCAGAATCCAACCACCAAGTATTTGAAGGAACCTCAGACAAGTTTGATTCGAAACATACAAAGGTATTAGAAATACCTTTCTTTTCAAACCAAGACTTGTGTTTCAGGCAATCTTTCTGTATGTGACCTTTTTTTTTTTTT